AGGGTTGCGCCCCAGAAGATGACGTTATACCCACGTGTGCTGTTTCCATCTTTCAAGTGCGTAACATACTACATATAAGATTTAAAAGTAGGTAAGAGTATTTATTATTTCGACGAACTCACGGGCTTTTTACTATATTTTACTTTTAAAATGAGTAACAACTATTTTAAAACGTACAATTACAATTTTAAAATACTTATCACTCACTTCAAAATTAAGATATAGTAAAAAACCCATGAGGTCGTCTTAGTAATACTCTTACCTTTTAATTTTATAAAAGGACAATTCACTATTCACTCTAATTTTTAAACCAACGGAGCTGAACGTGATTTGTTGAGCGTACAATTTGGTATGTTACTATGCACTTGTAAGATGGAGACAACACACAACGTCCTCTTAATTGCACAATGCCTTTCATGGTTTCAAGCGATAAATCCTAAAAATATCCGTGCTTACGTATTACAGCTTTGTTTGGGCCTTTCCCCCTCTCCCATTGAAAAAATTGAGCACTGGATTCGACGATGTATTTGACTGAGAATTGGTATCCACGTTTTTGATAGTTTCGTTGTATCGATGTATATCTTGTGCACTATTTCAAACTCAACAGTGTTTACGTAAAAGTTCTCTTGTTTCATATGTCTGGCACAGTCTGAGTTTGAAAAAAATGTAAAACTGGCACGAGAAGCGTTTACCATATCCCCTCGGTGGCTCAGTTAGCCACCCTATACTTGCACTCATGTTTATAGTATACGTATGCCGTATCTACAATCTACAGTCAATATGGACGGACGATATACTTTGTTTGTAAATATTCCAAACGGAGCGAATATTGTAATCACTTTAATTTGCTCATTTTTGTATTTCGTTAATGTAGCACTTACAATCACAATGGTAAATCGGGATATACAATCAATATTTATATTATTTCTGTTTTTTACTTTTACTATGCAATTTTTGATGTTATCAACTGTTCCTGTGTTACTTTTTTAGCCAATAAATGGCCAAATTTGCATTCTGCTCTTCTATGTCTCTCTTTCTCTCTCTCTTTCTCTCTCTCTTTCTCTTACTCGTCTTAGTAAAATATAATGTGGCCATGTGGGTATACTTTAATACGCCCCTTTAATAAATAAATAAACACACGCGTAGGTACGAATTTACGATTATGTTGATATACCTAATGTCGTATATTATATATTATTGAATTATTATACATGGTTATGCTCTATCAATAACATATACACGGTGCGGTGCTCTGCTTTAGTCTGCATGTATGAATAAAAGTTTTTTTTATTATGGCTATAAATTATTGTTAGGTAGATATTTCAGATTAATCTGCCGCCGCAATTGACCCGGAGCTCGACGCGCATTGAAAACACACCCCTTGCTGACTATCAGCTGTAATAATATTATTGTACGTTTCGCTTATATTTTCCGGAATTTTGTGTTTTTTCCATCGATTAATGACCACTTATTTAGAGAACGCATCTGTGGTGGGCGGTGGCCGATTGTTCTAGGTTTAAACTTATTCCCAATAGCATAATAATGTTATATGCTATTCTGTTGTTGGGTCCCGCGATGACCCGATTATTACGGTCACAGAGTACCTATCTATTGTATACTAATATAAAAGGCAAAAACAATTAAATAAGCAAAATACTCACTGAAAAATAATTTTTATTTCTAATATTTATTTTGTTTATTTGTTTAAAGTCATTTTTTGCTATAAATACGTCTGAGACATAATCAAATGCAAACATTTCTATTTTAACAAAATCGGTATGGATTTACTTATGTCTTATACTCTTATATATAAAAATGTTTAAATTTATGTTACGATTTAATGTAGGTATTATTATTATATATTTTATTATTTATAGTAAATTGTCCTTCTAGTTATATTGAATAAATAATATTATCTTCCTTCTTATTGAATCGTACACATTTTAAACGAAAATGTATATAAAAATAT